TTCGCGATCCCACGTTATTTGGAAAATGATGTATCGACACTACGCGCTATTTAGAAACCAATATATGCTATAAATGCGGGTTATATATTTCTTGCTATAGTGATACATGAAAGCAGGATAGATGCGTAAATCGCTGGGATCGAGAGAGTAAAGGGTTGCAACAGACGAGCCACCTGCAGATTCAAGCCGGCTGCATGGATACTGTCGTCATAAATACGAGGTAACCTTGATAAATAAACTATAGATGTTCCATCGATACGCATAAAGATCCTTATATGTTTCGTTATTAAATAAGAAAGACGAGACAAAATCGATAAAGTCAACATCGTGTCGCATATCACACTAAAATCGAACGAGGCTTTGAACGTTATTTATTTTAAAAATATGCGTGTGTATTTAATAAGTAGAGAAATAAGCATTCATAATGACGATAATATAATAAACACACACACATCCACAATCTTTGCAACGATAATTGCACAATTATCAATTTGCAAAGCAAATTGTTTTAGTTTTGATCGACTGAAGAAAACTATGCAAAATTATTTTATATTCCAGCGAATAATGATACAAAATTAGAATTGAGGAATATATGAAATCAATTATTTAATTTATAATGCAATTACTCAATTTCAAGGAAATATTTAGAATTAGGATGATTAATGTTGTGTAATTAACTTAATTTCAAAAATAATTTAATTTTATAGCAAACGAGATAATATAAAGATCTTACATAATGAAAATAGATTTCACACAAATAAACATTAAAGTTGGTGGAAATTTCTATTTGATAATGTAGATACACATACACATACAAATAGAATTCAACGAATATATTCATTTGAGGTAATCGGTATATAGCATGTAATGTACATTTTATTATACATTCTGCCGAATCGCGAGAATTAAATTTATTTAAATTTTTATGAATTTTTATTGTTTCAAGTTCCCTGTTAAAGAAAGAGACAACTCGTGTCTCGGAGACGCGCCCAACGGACAATAAAAGGTAATGATTAACTTTCCGCCCGCGTTAAATCACGATAAAGGCACGTAATTGCGCAGCGTGTCTTCGAGTTAATTTGCAGATTTAAAACGCGGCGCGTCGCATCAAGTTTTTACAGCAAGAAATAATAATTCCGAGCACGCGTATATATCAATAAATCACGAAGATACAACGTACAATTAACAAAATTACTTTGGATCAGCTGTTCTGTAACGCGCCGTAAAAAATAGGAAGTTATGATCGAAGCGTTAATTTACTTTCTTTTCGCCGCTCTTTATGATCAATTCGCAAATGAAAAGCACGCAAATGAAATAATTATCCGTTTAATAGGTTAACAGGGTGTCTACTCTAATCTTGTAAAAATATTTCCTGATTTTTCAAGTATTTTTATTCAAAATTTCTCAGGTAAAGAAAATATTTTAAAGATTTATTAGGGTGCAACTTTCTAAAATAAGTTTTTTTATTGTATACATTTTCTAATGTTTTTCATTCATATGAAGGACGTTGAATATTTAGTACAAACAAACATATAAATATATATTTATAATATATTTTAAACACAATTTACTTGGCTTGTCGACTGTTTACAATATAAGAATAAAATTATCGAACAAAGGATTTTTTAAAGAAATTCCCTGAATCCCAATAAAATTTCATGAGAATTCCATGATTTTTCCACAAAAGAAATCTTTAAAAATTCCAAGTTTTCCGTGTTTTTTTCAGGGAATAGACAACCTGGTTAATATTGACGGCACTAACAAAAGTTAAGACATTCAATCTTCAATCATTATCGATACGATGTAGGAAAATGTAGAGAATTGCTAATTAGAATTAGATGATCGAAACAGTGGATGCAAAACGATGCGGCTCAAAGCGAATTTATTGTTAGAACAAGAAGAAAGAATGAAATATCTTGCGATATATCAAAGGTTAAGCAAAGTGCACACTCGAGAGTTTTATTATCGAGGATTGCTCTCGAAGAAAACTCTCAATTAGACATTCATTAAGTGTCGCTCTCAATGTACGGTAGAAATTTTACTGTCGAGGATTGCTTGCGGAAAATAAAATTCTCAAGAGCCACTCCGAATGACATATATACCGATGAGTTTTATTATCGCGACGAATCGTCGCTATAATCTATTAGTTTTTTATTTTGTAAATAATAGAACGAAGAGGAGTATGTGTGTGCATGTGTGAAAGAAGCGAACATTAATATGTTTGCGTATCGCGATACTTACAAGGTCGCAAGGTCGTTACGATGCAAATTTATGCCAATAAGCGAAAAAATAAGCATTGCGAACCATTTACGATGTCTCTTATCGACGAGTTCTTGCGAGTGACTTATCTGTCCTTGAAATATCTAGAACATATTCGTGTATTCTTCGTCTTAAATCAGCTATATCTTTGTTATGACTAGATAATATTTGTTAGATTTTTAATCGAATTTTCGATTATATAGTAACTCTCCTACATATATATATATATTTTGTTTGTTAAATTTTTACTATTTCATGTTAGAATACAGTATCAGTATCTTTAGAATACAGAATAAATATCTTTATATTACAATATTTTAACGCAACATAAAATAATTTATATACCTGGAATAAATAATAGTATTTAATTTGTATAATCTATTTTAGAGATAATAGCTTTCATAGCTAAAAGCAGATTTTACAAATTATAGATTTTTGAGCCCCCCCGTTTATCCCCTTTCAACATCTACATATATATAAGCTTATAAAGAGGAAAATTTTCCAGGAATGTTTAAACAAAGAAAAGTGTGATAGAGAAAAAAATGTTTACTCGGTACACATTATGCGGAGTTAAAGCGCAAGCACAAAATTAGGATTTCTCTCACGCGTACACGGCAAACAAATTTTCATCCCGCTGTTCGTACGCGCGAGATCTTTACCGCGTGCGAGTCTGCGTCGCAAATACCGTTACACGCCGCAAAGAAATGGTCAAGTACGTGCATTTTACGGCGGTGCGATCCGTGATGAAGGAGCGCGCTCGCGTTGCCCGCGAGAGGAGATGACGATCGGTTGTCGCTATCAGTTGCCGATATCGCGCGTCCTAAAGGCCAGGTTGCACCTAACCATTCGATTCGGTTTAGCTTTAACCACGATTGAACCGCGCGAATGACCGAAGTCTGTCGGAGCCAACGTATTTTTGTAATTCGCTGATTGGAGGAAAGAATATCTTGGTTCGAAAAATAAAATGGCTGTGATATTAATCTGATATAAATTTATTGCAATATAAATTAGTATGTTTTTTTGTCTCTCTCTCTCTCTCTCTCTCTTTCGTTCAACACACATGGCTTGTGAATTTATATTCTTTCCTGTTTATTCGCGCCAGAGCTTCTCAAACTTTTCCCGGTTATAAAACACGATGTCTTTTCATATCTGTATCATAATTAATCAAAATTAAATTTTATCGATTTGAATGTCTTGGTGTTTATTCCAGATAGTGCGCAATAATATGGCATTTTGTATTCCGTATTTTTGAAATTTGCCGAATTCAGTTTGAGCACCACTGATCTGTGCTATCAATTTTTTATCAGGAACTTAATTTATGTTATCATGTCGCTAAGAATAACGATTGATCATTATTTACCCATCAACTTTGTATTAATTCGTATAAACTTATCTATTTGAACGTATTTGCTACCATTTATTGAGAATATTGCGTTTTCCTTAACAAAATATCTCGATGTTTAAAAATCATGAAATAAATAGATCTTCTTTTCTTATCGTATCTATATACTAATCAAATTATCCTCTCTTTATAATCGAATCGTAAAAATGCAGGAAACCATTAGAGAGATGGCCATTAGCAGAATGTAATCCATTACTAAGTGTATCATCATATATTTTCGGTGTCCCGCAATTAGTGGTAAACACGACTCCTTGAAAATGTCTCGATAATCAAATGCGGTCGTACATAAATAAACGTAAGCATATAATGATGTAGTCAAAGATTAAGACAGAACAGCGTGACGATCTTTCCCACGAAAAAGAAATTTTCGCTTCCATCTGCAATGGACAAGCATATTCTGACTAAACAGAACGATATATTTAACAGCATTGGAAACAATAGACTTGCTTCTTTCAAACGTATTATCTACACTATGCTGCGAACGGTAGTGAAAGAAGATAGGATTTTCTCTTTTCTTCGAAACTGTCGAAAAAAAAAAAAAAAAAAAAAAAAAAAAATTTAAAGAACTTTGGTTATTTCATCCTTTTATATTTATCTCAAGATTATATGAAACACTCCAAAATGAATCTTGATTTAAAATACATAATATATTTCAGAGACTAATTCCATATTGACATCAATAAGGTATCTTTCGTGTTACTTTATATTAGAGCGAACATGTAATAAACTTGACATGCGTGACTAATGGCTGGAACCATGGAATTATTTAAGAATAATGTTTTAGAATGTAGGTCTCTCTTATAACGCTTGAAATTTTCCAAAGGTCAAATTTAATTTGAACTGTATGTATTTAATATGAGCCCAAATCGCATAAATTATTCTGTTATTGGGTATAATGACATTTAACTTCAGATGAGATAATAAGGTGACCGATGTATATAATGAAAAAGAAAATTGTTTCGCAAATAATTGAATACTTTGTTTGAACTTTTCTTAACGTTTGCATTTTGTAAGCAGTTGAAACTTTGAGCATTATGAATCGAGCGACCCCATTGATCCCTTTGAAAGTTGTACAAATTCTCTTTCCATTTTGTACGTCTCTAATTCGAACCGTATTCAAACATGTAATTCTTACAAATATGTATCTTTGTTCTAGTTCTGACTTGAAAAAAAGAAACGTCAATAGGTTAATTTCGGATTATGTCAAGAATGCAAGAACGCAAGAAGGGACTGACAAGATGGATAAGATTAAACAAAAACAAAAACAAAAAAAAAAAAGAAAGAAAGAAAAAAAAAGAAAAGAGAAAAAAAAAACCCGGAAATCCAACTTGTCTCTTACCTCGAGTTCCTCGTACGTGCGGAAAGCGAGGATAGCGAATCCGTCGATAATGTCCTCCTCGAAGGGTGGCTCCTTTTGGTTGGCGGCCGCGAGGGAAGATTTCTTGCGGGGCCTCGGGGGTCGCGGTGGCCTGGGCGGCCGCGAGTGTCCGTCCCGCGGATGACCGGTTTTGGCACCGAGGCCGCCGCCGGCGGGGTCCTCGTCCTCGCCGCTGTGGCTGTCCTCCTCGTCGTTTGGCGGCCGTTGCCGCGACTGCTGCGACTGTTGCTGCTGCTGTTGCTTCGCGGTGGCCAGGCTCTCCCTCTGCGCCAGCATGCGCTGCGCCCGCTCCCGTCGTCGATTCTTCTGGCTACGTTGCTTCGCCTCGATCTCCATCTTCGAGTGACCACCTCCTCCTCGGCACTTCACTGAAACTGTCCGATATTTTCTAGCGATCACCCGCGACACGGCCTCGTGGTCAACGTAGACGGATAGCACGGAGGAAGGTGACGTACGGGACGACGACGACGTCGTCGACGACGACGACAAAGGGAGCACAAGAGCAGACGACAGCAACGATGGTCGTAGCAGCGTTCCGCGGATGACCGGTTTTGGCACCGAGGCCGCCGCCGGCGGGGTCCTCGTCCTCGCCGCTGTGGCTGTCCTCCTCGTCGTTTGGCGGCCGTTGCCGCGACTGCTGCGACTGTTGCTGCTGCTGTTGCTTCGCGGTGGCCAGGCTCTCCCTCTGCGCCAGCATGCGCTGCGCCCGCTCCCGTCGTCGATTCTTCTGGCTACGTTGCTTCGCCTCGATCTCCATCTTCGAGTGACCACCTCCTCCTCGGCACTTCACTGAAACTGTCCGATATTTTCTAGCGATCACCCGCGACACGGCCTCGTGGTCAACGTAGACGGATGGCACGGAGGAAGGTGACGTACGGGACGACGACGACAAAGGGAGCACAAGAGCAGACGACAGCAACGATGGTCGTAGCAGCGTTGTCGTCGTGCATTCTATGGTCGTCTCGACCGATGGGAAGAGAGGAGAGAGGGAGCGAGAGAAAGAAAAGGGAGAGAGAGAGAGAGAGAGAACGGGGAAAGGACGAGAGGAGGGTGAGGGAAGAAAGGAAGACGAGGGGACGCAGAGTATTAGAGGAACGAGCAAAGGCGAGTAGGTAGGAAGAGAACACAGGGGAATGAACGGGGAAATGAACAGGGCAGAGTGAGAGTAAGAGAGAGAGAGAGAGAGAGAGAGAGAGAGAGAGAGAGAGAGAGAGAGAGAGAGAGAGAGAGAGAGAGAGAGAGAGAGAGAGAGAGAGAGAGAGAGAGAGAGAGAGAGAGAGAGAGAGAGAGAGAGAGAGAGAGAGAGAGAGAGAGAGAGAGAGAGAGAGAGAGAGAGAGAGAGAGAGAGAGAGAGAGAGAGAGAGAGAGAGAGAGAGAGAGAGAGAGAGAGAGAGAGAGAGAGAGAGAGAGAGAGAGAGAGAGAGAGAGAGAGAGAGAGAGAGAGAGAGAGAGAGAGAGAGAGAGAGAGAGAGAGAGAGAGAGAGAGAGAGAGAGAGAGAGAGAGAGAGAGAGAGAGAGAGAGAGAGAGAGAGAGAGAGAGAGAGAGAGAGAGAGAGAGAGAGAGAGAGAGAGAGAGAGAGAGAGAGAGAGAGAGAGAGAGAGAGAGAGAGAGAGAGAGAGAGAGAGAGAGAGAGAGAGAGAGAGAGAGAGAGAGAGAGAGAGAGAGAGAGAGAGAAGAGGAAGGAGAGAGAGAGAGAGAGAGAGAGAGAGAGAGAGAGAGAGAGAGAGAGAGAGCACACTACACTGCCTCGGGATACGCACTCGCGAGACGGCTTACTGTCGCACGTATGTACACACACGCCTGGCCTCCGCGATATTCCTTTTCTGCGCTCGTCGAACGAGTTCCTCTCGCTCGCGGTGCGTAGTCGGCGCGATGCGTGGCCGCGATATCGCCAGCACGAGAGAGCACGGCACGGCCGCGATGTCACATCGATCGTGCGCGCTGGTCGAAGAAGAGTCCCGGGTGCGTGCGGCGAGGAAGCACGCGAGAAACACGCACGCAGGGCAGACAGACGGGCAGAAACGAGATAGAAAGACAGAGAGAGAGAAAGAGAGAGAGAGAGGGAGGGAGGATAGGGAAAGGGATAGAGAAAGAGAGCGCGTGCAAGAGAGCGACACACCGAGATGGAGCACTTTGCGAAAGAGACGGTCGCACTTGGAGCACCAACGTGCACGTAAGAAGGCCGGAGAGTAGTGGACACACACACACACAGACAGATAGATACACACGCACACGCACACACACACTATTAACGTCCGACGGTTTCGTACACTATCTCTGGGCTCTCTCTTCTTTGCTATATATTCGCACTTAACCGCGAATCACAGGTACGCACGAAGAACGAGAAGCTCGGCGTAGCGGCCAGTAGGATGATTAATCATACGTTCCGTCTTCCGTTTCCTTCCGTTGATCGTGGCCGTCGTCCACGTTGCGATTGTGGCCGCGCGCGCGCTACCGTTATCATCCTCTTCACGCGTTATCGTCACGATCACGTCCCTCTTCCTCCTTCTTCTACTCCTCCACCACCACCTCCTTCCCCGCCTCCTCGCTTCCTCCTCTTTCTCGCCACCGTTGTCGTCGCCGTGGACGTTCGTCGGCGAGAGGACGGCGTCGTCCACCACCTCCAGCACTGCCGGCGGCCACGGGCCGGATCGTTCTCTCGTCCTCGCGACGTCACGTCGTCTCTCGCAACGTCGGATCGCAGCGCACTGCCTTAACGTGCGCGGTGCAGCGCGTCTTGTGCGTACATGCGTGCGTGCGTTCGTCCGTCTTGGCTGATCGGCTGGCTGGTTGGCCTGCCTGTCGCGTTGGTTGGTCGGCGCAGCGCGGCGCTTATCGTTGTCGTCGCAGAACGGCGGTGCCACCGCGATCTGCCGTTGTCAGATGCATCCTGCGAGGAGCGCACGTAGCGCACCGATTGTTTAGAATGGCGGATCGAACGGGCACGCACGGTTGCCGCATCGTGCGGTGGAAAAATGGCCGCACCGAGACCTGCCAGCGAGAGATCCACTGCCGTCTTCTCCTCTGCTCGGGCTACCTGACTGACTGACTGACTGACTGACTGACTGTCCACTTGTCTTTCGTACGTACTCTTGTTCGTGGCCCTCTCGTACCGAGAGAGAGAGAGAGACAGTGAGAGAGAGCGCGGGCGTACACACAGCGCACGACGACGGACGTCGTCGTCCCCCCCTTCACTCTATGGCCCACCGGTGCTGGCATTTCTCCCCGCTGCGACTAGGTACTTTTCGTTTTTTCCCTAGAAGAGGCGAACGCATCGAGTCAACCATGCGGCGATACGTAACGCCCTCTATAATTCTTTTTGGTAACAGTTTGGCCCGCCAGATGTCGATATATACTCTACTGTTCTGCTCCTTCTCCTCTTCCTCCTCTTCCGGTATCGATTTTCAATATACTCTATGGCGGTAATTTTGGTATAATCGTGCGGAGAATGGGAAACGAGCGCCGGACTCAGCGAGCGATTGTTAACGGCTTCGTGGCTTAACTACGAATGCTTGATATGAGCTTAACATCTTTTTTATATGCTTTCAATAATTAGGATCGATAAAGTTTTTACGATAAACAAATGTTTCTAGATTTTGCGCTTTAAGCAATTCAAGTTTCCAAGCAAATAAAATACAAGATAATCTGATGACAATTAAGGAGGATGATCTTACACAATTAACAATAAATAAATGACATTGTGCAAAATCTTTTTCCGATTTATAGATATAAAAAAATCTAAAAATTTTGTAGGAGAAAAATATTTTACTATCGTTCGATAGCTTTCGATATAGCATTAGAATACAGTTATGTCAATCTTTGTCGAGTTCCTATTGACACAAGCATAATATTGAGATTACTCTCGTATGTTTATATACTAGCTTGTATTATATGGCCTGCATTGAAATTTCATTTATGATTAGATAGTAAAGATAGATTCACTCCCCCTTTATCCTTAAAATGTTCTTAAAATGATGAGCGAGAGCATCGGATGTATAGCGCAAACCGAGCTGATGACGTCACTTACGCGATGACTAGCCGCATCTCTTTCCCGTATGATCGGTTAAGCCGCACCTGGAAAGGCGCGTCTCCTTTGGACCAGTTCGCCACAACAATTACGCCCGCTTTTGCGAGAGCGCATCTCCCCGATCCACGACCATTTCGCGCAGCCGGTTTTGGAAAACGATATGTTTTCGAGTCCACATAGGTAAACGTGTCGCGACAATTTCTATATCGGTCGTCTGCGTGCGATAGAACGTACACAGTGTCCGGAAAAACGTACACTAAAATAATGAGATCTTATTCTCAGTTATTCTCAGAATTTTAAACACAATTAGTGTGTGTTTACGATCTTTAAAAAATTTTTTTATTTTAACAATACTAAATCGCGCTCCAATGCGTAAATAAATTTTAAGTAAATTTAAAATACAGATTTTAATATGCGAACACAGTTAAAAATTTATGTTAAATTTAACAGATATCACATATCCGAAACGGTCCACAGAAATTTTTGTATTAATTTGAAATAATATGGATATATTAAATGATAACATTAATGCTATGTTAATATTTTAACACAAAATAAATGCAAACCTCAAAGTAATTTGAAATTAATTTTGTGTAAAATTAACATATTTTTAATGATAAAATTATAACTTAGAAAAATGTTATTTGGTCTGTAGTCACTGTCACTCCTACACACAGAAAAATACATACTATATACAAGTAAATATTACTTGTTTCAAGTATTTCATAAGTTCATATATCCGCAAATCTATCATAAGTTCATCATAAGCATCAAATTTATTCAAAATATATTCTGAATCCTAATAAATTTAATATTTCAATCAAGAATATTAAATTATATAATTGAAAGAAATACATTAAATTTTTCTGATCTAATAAATTTTCTTACATTAAATTAACCATATCTGACTTTTCTTCGATAAAATTTTATAATATTCTTCAAAAGAAAATATTAACTTATTTTGAGTACATGATAATGAGTATTTCTAAAATTTGTGACAAGTCTATTTTAAGACTATTATTAAGAAAATATTCTTTGTTAAAGATAACTGTTACTTAAAAGAAGTAAAGTAAACTGAGTAATCATTTTACTTAGCAATAGAATAATATTTTTCTGTGTGCACTTATACTCGCGCGGATTAGCTATTTTTTTAAAATAAATCTCATTAATTATTGCAAAAATTGCAAAATGATATAGAACTTTCCTCTACTCGATTTAACCCTCTCTATACATGAGAGGTGATACGATTATTACCGGACATCTTGTTTAATTATATACATATTTGATTATATCAACTTTTTTCTCGAGCCTGAATGAAATAGAAATCTGTTAAAGTAATTCTTCTTGCTTCCTCATAGAGGAAGCTTTGTTTT